ACATTGGATGAGATACTCAATCAGAAAATACAACCGATTTGAACCGGTTTTCTAAATGTTTGATCAGGTTCAACAATTTAGAAAACCTGCACATTTTTCCTCGAGATTTTTTTACGTATTTGCATTACTACATATGTTTTTAGAAAATAATTCGTTCGAATTCGACAGTCCTATATAATAAGGAATGTATACTGCTTTTTTCCATCTGGGGTTTTCATATACTCATCCCCAATAGGAATTTTCCACCCTCCATACAATGACGGACATGCATAAATCGACTCAGAAAGTGATTCTATACATATTCTCAAAAGGAACCATGGGTCTATCTCGTTTCCTTTTGCCTGTTACAAACATATACACAAAGACATAATACCCTGTTCTACAGTGTGGTGAACATTTAAAAAAAAATTCATTAGAATTAAAAGATATACATAAAATAGACTTCTCTTACATTGGATGAGAGACTCAATCAGGAAATAAAAACCTATATTTAACCAGTGAGCGGATTAGTATAGTCGGACGGGGCCGACCATATGATACCCTTCCCAATGACCACTGAACTCTAATTTTCTGAAGATATATATTCCGAACCAGGGCGATACTTCGCGGTATTTGTATCCTCTTAATCGATTAGAGACAAAAAATCTTGGTTCACTTGATCGTAAATATATAGTTGACCAGATCCTTTCTCCGTGTAAAATTTGAGATGTTCGACGTACAATAGTGGTCCCTACAGCAAATAGGAAGTCATACTGAACAAGTTTTTGGTCTATTTCATCTATTAAATATCATCTGATCAGCACCGAAATTTTGTAATTGCCGTTCCTGAACATAACCGGAACCTCATGTATAATTTCAAAGCAATCCGCGCTACACTTTTGTTTAATAGTGGTAATACTAACCAAATTAAAATACGTAGACACCGGTAATTACTTTAGTATAACGACCACATCCGAGTACACACAACAATATAATAGGTATCAATTTAAAGGTCAACCACTCTTCTTTGATATACTATTAACTTCTCGGGTCTATGTCATTTAGGATTAAATATATAGGCCATATAAGAGAAATTTTGGAATATATCACACAAAAGTCCATTTGACCCGCTAAATATTGACAAATATTCATCGAAAAAGCCATGCGTATTCCATGGCCATACACTTTCTCCTGATATTCGGATCAAAATTGTGGCATGTGGACGAAATCTTCTAAATAAAATCCTCATTCGATTTTACTGAAGAAATGTAATCTCAAAAAATACGCACAAGAGACACAAATCAAATATAATCAGATCTGACAACTCGGTTAAAGATTCCTAACGAAAATTAGGGGTATGATTAAAATGGGAAAGTATCTCATCATTGAACGATATTGATAACCTAAGATCTGGCAATTTGGTTAAAAAATTTTATCTGATCGTGCTTGACAATAGTTGGTATCCCCTTATATTGGGATTAATACTAACAAGTTTTGTAGTTGAATTTTGTACCCTAACTAATTGGGGTACCGTTATATGTGGGCTATATCAAAACTTCGAGTGATATATTCCACTTTTAATGACAAATATCCAAGGAATTTCAAAGCTGTAGTGATATCGTGATTTCAACAGACAAACGGGCATGGCAAAATTTTATTCGGATCCGGGATACAAAAATGCCACAAAACAAAAACCAGTAAGGAATGTAGTAAAGTCGGACTGGGCCGACTATATGATACCCTTCACCACTTTGGGTATATTGAACATATGTATCCTTAAAATTGGATGTCAATGTTCTCTCGAAGGAACATACTCATGTCTTTCCGCAACATATGCTAAATTTTATTTCATTCGGACAAACATTAGGAATTTTCTGCACCATTTATGTAAAATCGGACGAATATATAAGTATATGAGGGAGCTATATCGAAACCTGAACCGATTTTTTCGAAAACCAACACATATCATTGTAGACTCAATTCAGTACGCTATGGTGCAGAATTTACATAAAATCGGACGAAAAAATATATGGGAGCTATATCCAAATGTGAACAGATTTTCACGAAACTTAATACACATCACTCTAGACTTTATGCAATACGCTATGCCAAATTTCGTGCAAATCGAATATTATATAGGGACTTTGGTGCACCATTTTCATAAAATCGGACGAAAGTACATATGGGAACTATATCTAAATTTGAACCGATTTAGCACTTATGATTCTAGACCCCAATTCATAACGCTATGCAAATTTCGTGCAAATCGAAGGATACAAAGGGATTTTGGTTATCTATTTACCTAATATCGGACGAAATATATATGCCAGCTATATCTAAATCTGAATCGATTTTTACGAAACTTAACACATACCATTCTAGTCTTAATTTAGTACGCTATGCCAAATTTCGTGCAAATCGAAGAATATATAGGGACTTTGGTGCACCATTTACATAAAATCGGACGAATATATATATGGGAGCTATATCGAAATCCGAACCGATTTTTCCGAAACTCACCACTCATTAATATAGACTCAATTCAGTACTCTGTGTTAAATTTCGTGAAAGTCGAAATATATATGGTCACTTTGGTGCACCATTTACCTTAAATCCGTCGAAAATATATATGGGAACCGATTTTCTCCAATTTTAATAGGGTTCGTCCTAGGGCCAAATAAGTGAACTGTGCCGAATTTCATCAAAATCGGATCATAAATACTTTGTTCACAAAAATACATGGACAGACAGACCGACGGACATGTGCCAAATTTCATCCAAATCGAATCATAAATACGACCTATACTTTGTTCAAAAAAATACATGGACCGACAGACCGACGGACATGCGTCAATCGACTCAGAAAGGGATGATATGCATACTCTCAAAAGAAACCATGGGTCTATCTAGATTCCTTTTGCCTGTTACAGTCATATCAACAGAGACATAATACCCTGTATCACAGTGTGGTGAAGGGTACAAAGATGTTATGTTTGGCCCGGTGGAACCTTTTATAACCTCCACCATGAGGATGACATTAAAAATATCTTAAATTTTAATTGGGAGAAAGCGCATGTTATCATAGGACCTTAAATATACCGTAAGATGATATAAATTCTCAAAATACCTAATAGTGAGGTTAACGTTGTATGGGGCTATACCAAAACGGAGATCGATACTTATAATTTTGAGTAGTAAAATTTGACAGCTAAAGAGAATACATAATACCAATTACAATCCATTCGGCTAAAAAAGTGTCCAAAATATCGACCTGGGTCAATGATAATAATTTTTAGTACTTAGATATGTGGGTACCGTTATATAAGGTGCTGCTCTAAAACTTGGGTAAATATTAATAATTTTTAGTACAAGGATGTGATATACTATGTGAACCCAAAATACCATATTACAGCAAATTTGAGTGAAAATTTTGTCCAAAATCCAAAAAATGTCGAATATTGGGGTTACCGAATATTGGACGGTACCGATTTATATTGGGGCTGCACTAAATCGTGGACCGATATATGGGGGCTGCACTAAAACGTGGACCGATATATCTCATTTGCAATACCATTCATTCTGGGAGAAATAGTAATGTCTGTGCAAAATTTCAGAGCTCTATCTTAAATCGATAAAGAATTTTATTCTGATCAATAATATTTCGATGTATTCCAAACTGAATGAAAAATGTAATTTAATTAATTTACTTTACATTACAATGGAGGGTATAAAAAATAGGATCCGTGGAGAGTTTGATATATTTCTTTAGAAAAAAAATAACAGATCTGGTGCTTATGCCATTTTCGTTTCGGGGCCTACTGAACCTTCTAGTGTTGGATCCGAGCAATTCGCTAATCCCCTCACTTATATACTATCAAACTTTTAGGAAGTGCTACAATTCATGTCGCGTATTAAGCCGTTAATTTTCTGTTTGTTGCCATTTGGGGGATTAAAATTTTTGGTTTTAGTTTTTTACCACCAAACAAACATTTTTGCATAACCATCAAAAATTAAATATTCCGCACACTACTTAGCAAAGCTATCAGCTTTAAAAATTCACAAATTAAGTCAAAACATTCAGCGGACAATGAATAATTCACTGCTTTTGACAATATCAGAGCGCAACCGAAAAAAAAGAAAAAAACACGAATCAGAAGAACTTCCAGAAGACCAACGCGAAAGAAGTTGTTGTTGCCAGTTTGGAATTAGCCAAAAGAGTTGAAATGAAATGGATTTACTTCCTTCAAAAATAAAACAAAAGTGAATGCAATGAATAAATATGCAGAGTGAGTGGGAGGGTGTTGGGAGGTAGCGAGGAAGTTTGACTCCAAGTACAAAACATTCCATCTGCGGAATTGTCAGTCAGTCTTCGTCTGCAAAAACCAAAAAAAAAAAAAAAAACTTATGATTGGAATAATAAATTGTTCCGAACTTTTGACAGAGAATTATCATTTCTCTTTAGGCCAGTGGCAGCACTTTGGTCTCACTACCTCTCTCTTTTACCATCACTGAACCAAGTGACCAAAAGTAATTTTTGGTAAATTTCGTAAATGCAAGTAAGTGTGTTTGTGTGTCAATTGCGATTGTCATAATATTAGCCACTGTAATAACAACAACAATGCGTTTAACCAGCTTTGGTTGTATTACGTCTACTTCAAACGTCAGACATAATAATTTATAATCGAAATTGTATGACACAGTTTTGTGAGTGTGTAAATGTGCGATTGTGTGTGTGAGTATGTCCACTGATAACGATTTGTATGCACGTTTAAGCCATCTCCAAAATGTCTTAACGTTGTTATGACGCCACACTGTGTTTTTGTTATTTTTTTATTCGACTCAAAATTGTTCACTTCAATAATATAAAATCTAAATACCCATCGAGAAGGGTAAACAGTTGCCAAAATCCATTCAAACGTAAAGTAGCCATCACTGCTCGCGATACGGTTGCCATTGTAATAACCTGGTTTTTTTTTTGTTTCGTTCCCAAAGGATATATCACCAATATTAACATCACCATTATGTTTGTCCAACGTTGTCGTCACTCCGTTTCCGGTCGTTTGGCCTTGGCTTCCGTTGCCGTCTTGTGCTGCCTGGCTGTTGCCGCCGAGGCTCAATTGGCCTTCCACACCGATGCCAATACCAATTCGTTTACTTTGAAAACACCTGGATTACAACAAAGTTTTACACGTTATTTTGGTGGACAAGGTGCTAACTTGCAACAGCAACAACAACAGCAAGTTCAACAATATCAACAACCACAACAAGTTCAGGTAAGTTTGTTGTTCTTTTTGGGATGCATGTATTCGTACGTGTGTGTGTGAATGGTGTGACCGAAACAAGGATGTTCAAATATTGTCATCATCTTTCAACACTGCATTAAGCCACACCATTCTTTTGTGGAATATCTTTTTGGGGGTCATTTGGCCATATGGCTTCATTAGCCCAAGGAATTAAATGGCCTTGTTTGCCTTGTTATATGGAAATTTTCGAAAATGTGACCTTATTTTCTAATGGCGGATGTTCTGCAGGTGAAAGATACACAAAAGTGGAAGATAAATGTTATGTATCCTTGGGATGGCATATTAACGTTGGGAGTCTAAATGGTTTTAAGAAGTGAATAGAGGGGGAATAGATTTCAACATATTAGAAAATTTCCTGGAAGGGATATTTGAAGAAAAATTGGAATACTAAAAACGAACAGGCCGTCTATAGCTGAAGAGAGTTTCCATTGTCCTGTTGGAATGTGGAATTTTCTCCATAGAAAAATATGATTTTTTTTCTAAAAGAAAAATAAGTCCTGAAATCTGTGGAATTTTTATTTTTAGAAAACTATCGTTTTTATTATTTCGGCATTTTTTTCTAAAAAAAAATATTGGTCCTGCTATTCTGTGAAATGTTTTCTATACAAAAGTTTAAGTCCGGTAGGACAGTGCAATTTTTGTCTATAGAAACCAGTAGTGAAGCCTGTGATTTTTTTTCCTATTGGAAAATTATACATCCGGTGAATTTTTTTTCTACGGGAAAAAATAACAGTCCTGAAGTCTGTGGTATTCTTCATATGCAAGAAATACAAGTCCATATGAACCACTCTAAAGATATGTGGAATATTCCCTATAGAAAAATATCAGCTCATTAGGACAGTCTACTTTTTTCTATAGAAAACAGCAAAAAATCAGCCCTGATAAATTTTGGATTTATTTCTATAGACAAAGTAGTAGCCCTGGTAGCTTAAAGGTTATAGAATTTTTCTCTAAAGAAAAATAAATCTCATAAATGTTTTCCTTTGGAAAAATGTTATATTGTGAAATTTTCTATGCAGTCCGAAGGTCTGTGGTATTTTTCCATATAGAAATATATCAGTCTGCTAAGACTGTTAAATTTGATTCTTTAGAAAAACTATCAGTCCTGAAAACTGTGGAACTATAGACATTGTGACCGGATTTTTTAGTCTAAAATAAATATTATTTCTGAAGAATTGTGAAGTTTTCTCTATAGAAAAATTATCAGTACTGCAAAACTAGGGAATTTTCCCTAAACAGACATAAGTCCGGAAGATATTTTCTATAGAATAAGTATGAGTCCTGAAGACTGCGGAAATAAGGTCATTTTTCTCTACTACAAATATTAGTCTGGAAGGGCGCTGGATTTTTTGACTTCGAAAAATGTCATTCCTTAGGATAGTGGAATTCTTGTTTTGGAAAAAAAACTGTCCTGAAGTTCAGGTTCTATGGAAAAGATGAGTTAAGACGAGCTGAAGCAGTTTGTCTTTATAATCGAGCTGAAGCTGTGAAATGTGAAGGGAGCCGTTGTAGGCGAACTGAAACTGGGGTCCTTTGTATGTGAGTTGATAGGCGCAGGAAGATTTATAGACCACCTATAGAAGAGCTGAAGTGAGGCTTCATTGGTGATCTGATGACAGCCATTATAGGCGAGTTGAAGCAGGAAGCCTTCAAAGTTGAGCTGAAACAGGAAGTCTTTATAGACAACGTAAGGCGGGGAACCTCTGTAGGCGAGCTGAAGCAAGCCTTTATTGGCGATCTAAAGGCAGCCATTATAGGCGAGGGAAGTGAGCATTTACAAGGGAGCTGAAGCATGGAACTTTTATAGGCGAGCAGAAGCATAGAACCTTTGTTATGGAGCTGGATGGAAATATTAATGGGTTATCTGAAGCGGACAGCTGACGCTGAGGTGGGTCTCTTCAAACCAGCAGTCGGGTGTTTTATAGGAAGATTTAATAGTCAAGGAATTACAGATCAGCGGCCATGAGTATGTATAGACCATCTGAAGCTGTTGTCTATAGACGAGCTGAAGTGGATCTGTATAGATCAGCATAAGCGTGCATTTATGAAACTGGGTTTATAAAAGCTGAGACGGATATCTCTTGACCAGCTGAAGCAGATTTCTATAGACCAGTTGAAGCGGGTGTATATAGACCAGTTGAAACGGGTCTTTATAGATAAAATGAATCTGGTCTCTTTAGGTAGGTTATGCTGGATTTTTATACACCAACATAAATAGGTTTTTATAGGTAATCTGAAGCAGGTGTCTATGCACCAACTGAAGTAGATCTCTCTATAAATAAGCTGTGATGGACCTCTGTAGACCAGCTGAAGAGGGTTTCAATCAAAGAGTTAAAACGGGATTTTTATGCATTTTTATGCACCGGGGTTTTTATGCATCAACTGTAGGGGGTCTTCATAGACCAGGTGTATAGGGTCTTTTGTTGACCATATAGATGAGCTGGGTCTCATACATCAACCGAATCGACCAGATAAAGATACCTGGTGTTGATAGATTATGTGGACGAGCTATGATGAATCTATATGGCCCGGTGAAATCCAAAGGTTTTTTACTGATGAGCTCCTCCTTTCATTGGAGGTATAGAACGACTTTTGAAAAAAATGAATCTGAAATATAAAGAAGGCACCTTGAAATATCTTCTGTTTCCAAAGATACCTCTTGAGAGGCCTATAAGACTCTGGGAAGGTCTGTAATTTATAGATAACCTCTTGGAAGATCTTTTATATATTCCCCTCGTCTTCTCTTGAAGGTTCTTTATACAAAGTCCTTACCCATAGAAGTTCTTTTGAATCACCTCAGAAGGGCCTTCTGTCAATAGGTAATTTATTGAACTTTTTATGGAAATTTTTCAAAGGACTTCGGTAGATAGAATGCTTTCAGGAGACCTTCTAAGTACATGACCTTTCAAGAAGGTCATACCCTAAGGTCTTCTACTTAAAAAATAATTATTGTTAAGCTTTATATATATTGCAGACCTCTTGATAGGACTTCTCTCTACAAGAACTAGTGAAAAGTATTAGATCGACCGAAGTTTTCTTGAGAGCTTTTTCATCTATAGAAGGTTCTATTGGAAGGTCGTGTGTTTACTAGACCTTTTCCACAAAAAGCCTATTTTCGTACAAAATATTTTGAATTTTGGCATAATACCTCTTAAATATCTTAAATCCAGAGGCGTCTTAGCGGTCCTAGAAATATCGTCTATTTTTCTAAAAAAATATGTTTTAAAATATGTTTCTGTAAGCGAACTCTATAGAGGACCTCTGGAAACCTCATATATATCTATGAAAGCAATATTGAAAGGAGTTAAAATATTCGATCCACAGAAGTCCTCTAGATGCGGAAATGAATCTATTCCGAAACAAAAGGGGTTTTGAATAAAGCTAATATTTAAATTGATATCAATTAATTTTTAATTCGATATCAAATAATAAAAACAAACTACTAATTTGAGTACTGGAACCACTAAGGCTGCCTTTATTAGCGAACTGAAGCACGGAGCTTTTATAGGCCATCTGAAGAGAGCATTTATAGGCCATCTAAAGGGAGACTTTATAATTGAAGGAGACTTTATAGGTGAACTGAAGCCTTTTAGACGAACTAAAGGCAGTTGAATCATTTTTATTTCGAAAATATTTTAACTGTAATAATCAAATCTGTTTTTTTTTTTTCAAATACTCATTTTTGGAAAAAAAATTTGTTGTGTTGTTTTTAAGTTGCCTTTCTCTCGTATTCTCATTATTTGCATGCTTGGTGCTTTGCTTGTATTTGCATGGCTTTCATTTGTTATGCGATAATTTTTTCATACTATTATTATTTTTTTTTTCAAATTTTTGCATGTATTTTATTTACATATTTAGCTAAACATAATCAGGTGCATGTTTTGGTATACGTATATATTTACATATTTATATATTAAAGATATTTTTATTATTTCCATACAATGCTTTCATACCATCCATCATTTCATCATAAACAATCGAACGCTTACGCCTATCATCCTCATCCGATGAAGAATCACTATCCGAATTGGAACGTTTTTGTTTTTTCACTGCATCACCAAAACCCACTTCCATGTCATTTTTCCATTTGGTGCCGAACACTTCAACGGTTTTGTCATAACGGGCCGCGGCACCATTGTCAAAGACCTCTTTAACTTGGCCGGCAGCCATTATCATAGTGGTTTGGAAGTCCTACAAAATTTATTTTTCATACTTATTTAAATTTATATTTTATTTTTTGTTTTTTTAATTTATTTACCTGCGGCCTGGTTTCCGTTATGTTTAAGAAAATCAAGGTTATGGCCACTATGCCAAATATTTTAACCACTCTTCGCATGATTTTATTTGATTCGCTTTTTGGCTTCGTTTATTATGCTTTATTTTTATTCGTATTTTATTTTGGGTTCTTCAAAATTTATTGGCGTGGTTTTTTAGTGCATGCTGCTACATGAATTGCTTACTGGAAATTTTATTTAATTTTATTTTGTTTTTATTTAGTTTTAGTTGTTTGCATGCTTGCTTGTTTTATTTTTTAGTTTTGCCTTGCCGTTCATTTTCATTGCCATCATCAACACAACAAAAACACATTCAGATTTATTATCTCAGTTTTGATATTTTTATATTATTTTATTATTATTTTTCTTTAGTTAATTATTTTTTGCCATGTCAAACGAAACAAAACCGTTAGTAATTTATATAATTTGTTAACAAGAGTTTTGAGGATTTTTTTTTTTTTTTGAAGATTTGGGGGGTTTCCTTGGACAGGGCAAGGAAAACATTTTTGATAAAATAAAAATACTGGAAACTTTTTCAAATTTTTAAATCGAAATTTAAGATATTTTTCAAACATGTTTTCCAAAAAAAAAAAAAAAAAATATCCGAAAATTTTAAAAACGCATTGATTTCTAAAACAGGATTTTTATTGCCCTGATTAACACTTGTGCTTGCATAAATTCTCAATTTAT